GGACCTTTCTAACTAAAACTGGCCACTGTCCACATAATCACTATGAAGAAGTGCATGTGGGAATTCTATTTGAACATGTCAAATGATGTATTCAATATATATCTGGTATCTCTGTCTATTTCCTCCCTTTCATCATTGCAAATACACATCCCTTCTTTGGATTAAGAAAATAATGTTGACTTTAACTTAATTAAAATATTTTCTTTTTAGGCATAAAATAAGGCCACAGGCACAGTTTTGACATTAGAAGGTAAAGGTTCTTGATATTGTCAGAGGCCATGTGAAACAAGATGTATGCAAGATGAAAACACAAAGAGATGGCTTTTGGGACCATATTTGTCCTGAAATATGTTTTGAATTTAGAAATATAGAATTGTTACATTAGACATTTAAGAAGGCAGAAAAAAAGGATTGAAAATAAACTAGATAAATTGTGAAATTCATACAGTGTTACAGAAAATATTTTATGTTTCAATAAAAATCTTCAGCTATTTATTGTAGGTAGCCTTTTATATTAAATAATTAAAAGTTTTTATAGCTAGGAGAAGTGATATGTTAATATATGTTAGAATTTTTAGTATAGTTGTAAGTCATGATGATTATCATTATTTTTCTCTACTTCTTACATTCTGACGACTACATTTTCAATCTTTAGGCAGTAGTATTTTATGACTTTGAAAGGTTAAAATCTATTGGAGATGGAGTTTTTAAAATCCAATTATTTATACATGACCCTCAAATTTTCTTTCATCAACTGAGTTTAGGTGGGCTGTCAAGAGCCTAGGAACAGGCAGAATTTTGCATTTCTCTTTGTTTATAGGTTAAGTGGCATAAAAGACAGAGAGACTTTGCAGGTCAGACTGTAGCTCTGTGATTTTGAGCAAGTTACTTAACATCTGTGGGTCTCAGCTTTGTCATCTGAAGATGGGATATTTCACCCGAAGTTGTTATGAGGATTAAATAATTCGTGCCAATAGCCTAACAGAGTGGGAAAGGAATAAAAAGTATCAATTGTTACTCTTTATTTTCATTTCCCAAAGTCTGGTGTAGAATGGCCTTTAAAATTTTTTGTAAATTTTTATTAGTATTGTATTTGCAGTACATAATGATTACATTCATCGTGGGGAATTAGTATGAGTAGATAACACATCACAATTTCTCTTTTTTTTTTTTTTGCCAGCATCATATTCATTTGTCTTATCCACCCTTATAAAGTTAATTATCATATATACAGATTAACAGCCAGACTAACAGGCCAAAAAAAAAGCCATACAAAACACATAAAACAATTACACCATGGCCTTTCTTAGAAGAGCAATGGCCTTAGGATTACTTTTCTTCCCCATTTGATAGTCACAGTACTTGATCCTTGTTCCCTTTTCCTTTCTTTTTTCCCCAGAACATCAGAAATAAAGGAAATAGTATTCTGCAACTCTATCCATTCTGAATTTTTCTTCAGCTACTATACTAAGTTAGATGATGTAATCATTAACTTATACTGGCTTTTCACCAAGCTATGGCAACAAGTTTCTTTCCTAAAGGCACACTCTGGATAGTATTTCATCTCAGTTTAGAATGTCTACTTCATAACATGACTATTTGTAGAGAACTGCCTGTGCTTCGCTTTCTGGGATGTGGTAATCAACACTTTGCTGTTCAGAGCACTCTTGTTTCCTCTGCGTCTTATTCATCATGGGAAACTGAGCTCTGAAAGAAATGGAAACTTTACACTCTTCTCTTTTATTGGTGCAAAGCAATCAGAATTTCAGAAATAACAAAATAGAAATTAGCCAAAAAATTTTTTTGTTAATCCATATTAATTTGCAGTCTTGATTTTGTATCCTAACTTTAATATTGTCTTAATCTCCTCAAGCTGCCATAACAAAATACTATAGACTGGATGGTTTGCACAACAGATATTTATGTCTCACAGTTCTAGAGGCTGGAAGTCTTAAGATCAGGGTGTCAGCATGGTTGGCTCTGGTGAGGGCTCTTTTCCTGGCTGATGGCCACCTTCTATATTCTCACATGGTGGACAGTGCCAGTTCCAGACTCTTCTTCTTATAAAGACACTAATTGCACCATGGGAGTCCAGCGCACATGTCCTCATCTACCCTTAATCACCTTTCAGGTACTCATCTCCAAATACTTTCACACCTAGGGTTAAAACTGTACATGAATGTGGGGGTGGAGCACAAACATTCAGTCCATAACAACTAGCTTGTCCTAAGTCTCTGAGCTTTGGTTTTCTCATTCACAAACCAGAGATACTGTAATAATAGTACCTACCTCATAGATTTGTTGAGTAATTTAGTTAAGTTAGTATGTGTAATATACTTAGCCCACCTCCTAAAACCCAGTATTCATTTAATAGAAGGTGGTTGCCATAGTAGCACTGGAAATTAAAGTCATAGCAGTGGTGGTTGATCCATTGCACTTCATGAGCCTGTCTTTTCCCAGGAACTTACCGGAACCCTTCTTAAGTTTTTAAGTGTTGAATGAATTAGCAAAGATTAAAGTCTCTTTCTTCCATGTTCCTGCTGCAGTTTTCCTTCCCAGAATAACTGAGTTTCCTGATCCTGTTCCTTCAGTTATCTCTGTCTGTATGTCTCTGTCTCTTTCTGTCTCTCTCTTTCCCTCTCTCTAAGTCAGCCCTCACCAAGACTGTGGACTTTGTAGGCTTCTCTTTTTTCTTGGACACTGCCTTCAGGTGCTTATTTTCATTTGCTTCATGGCTCCCTGGTCTTGCCTTCAAACCCTTTAGATTATTTCTCTTTTTCCCCGGTATTCCCTCTTGTCTCTCTTATTTACTTCACGATCATATATATTAAAACAATGAAAGTTTCTCTGGGTCTTCTGAATGTGGACAAGCAGGTTCCTAAGACAGGCGGGTTCATATTCAGTTTACCAAGCCAACTCTTTTCTGATTGCTTATAGTGTCCTCTAAAATCTCTTCTCCTTAAATCCTTCCACAGTGATCCAAGAACGGTGCCCTGCCTCTTCTGTGAACCCTGGGAATGGATTCAACATTGTTGTCTGTTAGAAGGATGCATGATTGATTGAAATGTCTTATTGCCAAACAATGAATTAGAAGAGTTTTCCATAAGGAAGAATTAGTGGTTATCATAGTGAAACACTTACATTAAAACTGTATTTTACTAATTTGAATGTGTTTGTGCTGACTTTAGAATTTAGGGCATTTTGAGACTTTGGGAAGTAATAAAAGCATTTTAAATCTTAAAATATAGGATATGGGTATCAAATAACAAGCATGTTTTAGGATAGAATCTTCAAAGGTAGAAACCTGTTGTAGCACATGTTCTATCAAGATGTATTTCAAAGCAAAGTCATCTCAAGCTTCAGGGAACATGGGAGTGTATGTGTGTATATGTACACACACTCATATCCTTTAATAAAAATCCGTATTTTTCAGAACACAAATTTACTTTCACTTCAAAATATTAAAAATATTTTTGTATCTTTTCCAATTCAGAGGTATCTAGCAAATTCCAAAGGAAGGGGTCATATGAAGACACACTGGACAGTTTCTGGCCTCCAGCTTTATCAAAAGAGCGTGTGCTGAAGATGGAGAGATAAACCACAAACATCTAGTGCTCTCGTCCAGAGCTCGGGGGACAAATGCCATCCTCAGAGGGGTCAGTAGGATATGATGGCCTCTCAAAGGAAAGAGGGATCATTCCTACTTGAGAGGACCAAGACACTTTCATTGAGAAGGTAGGATTTGAGAAAGACCACAAGAGAGGAGTAAAGGGGTATACCTGCAAGTATAGATGAGGTAAGAAGACATTCTTGAGAGGGAGACAGCATGAGCAAAGGACTTTGGAAAATATGGACCTTGTTGGCTACATAGCATAGAATTCCTGTTGACCAAAGTAAGGTAGAATATAAAGGGTCCATGGGAAGAGGAAGAAGAGGAATCATTGTAGCAGTTTCCATTTATTGAGTGCCTACTATGTATCAACATTTCATTCACATTTTGCTTGTATTACCTGATTTAATCATAAAGGAGATAAGTCTAGAAATAGAAATTGGGTCATGGTAGTGACTGAATGCTAGGGTAAAGACTATATTTTGGCCCTCAGTGAGGTATTTAAGTTGCAACAAGGAGTGATTGAAACTCCTTTGAAGCGAGGACCAGGGGATGAGCTTTAGATTGTAGGAATCCATAACCCTGGAAATGCCCATGAGCACTAGCAGTAGAATTTTCCTATTTGCAAATTTCCAAATCTTTAAGAATATATATTTTTAAATGGAATAGCATGTTTATAAAAGGAAGAAATCAAGCCCAAATGTGGAGGAGGCAAGTTTCTTTGTTCTTTCATTTTCCTGTTTAAAGTTTTCTGTCAGGCAGCTCTCACAGGCATGACAGAGAGTATTGTTGGTCGTCAACATCAGCTTCCCAATTTGTAACCTGGGCATGTATATGAATATCTGAAGTTAGGACTAGGTTCTCAGTCTCCCCCAAGGCATTACTGTGACCATGGGACTACAGCTAATATCAAGTAAAATGTCCTTTGAGACTTCTAGGAAGTATCTTTTACAAAGAGAAGTTTCTCTGGCCAGGGGTTTAGCTCGGTGCCATGTCTGCCTCACAAGTGTAAGGTCCTCAGTTCGATCCCCAGTACCAAAAAAAGAGGAAAGTTTCTCTTCATCCCTTCCTACTTTGTACTAACTGGAATGCAGAAAGGAGGGTTGGAGTTTGATTATTGATTTGTGACTACAGAGCTTCTATATACAAAACTTTTAATGTATCTTAAAAGCAAATCAATTCAGTTACCTGATAAAGGTTTTCAGTGCTAAGACGCATGTTACTTGAGTGACCTTTTGTAAACCAGTTTCAGGCTTAGCATGGTTTTAGATGTGCTTTGGTATTTAAAGAAAACACAGTATCATAATAATACTTACTTTCACTGATTAGTTGATACTGGCTATCTACTCTTTTCTGGTTTTGTTGTTGTTGTTATTGGTAATTTGTTTTATTTTTGTCTTTTGTAGTTTTTGAGCCTTCTGGGAAAATAGATTTAAAGTGTGACATTTGAATATTTTGATAGAGTTCAAAGACATGTTTATATTTCAGGAAAATGGAGGGAACTAGGCAGAGAGTTTAAGCAATGTTTGATGTAGTTTGTATTTTCCTCCCAAACAAAAAGCTTGTTTATGACCTATGTTCTTTGTGATTGATGGAAAGGGAACAGAGTGTAAGGCTGTAAGAACTTGCATCAGATTAACTTTGGCAAGATTCTGATAGTTCTTGATAATTAATTGTAGGCAATTTCTGTCCAGTTAGTTTGTGTGGACCTCTTGGTTAAGGAATTACACTGATGGAGTTCTGACTCATCCACACTGATCCCTGTCTATCATCCATCTACTACATCTGGAATTCTGTTCCCAAATTGGATCACTGTGTGAAAACAGCCATGGCAGGCCTTAGCCCAGAGGGGAGCCAAAAGCCCCAGAGAAGGGCTCTTCACAGGAATGAGACGTGGCACTGGGCTGTGGCTCTTTTCAGCTTTCTGGCAGCAAGTCTCTCGTTAGCATGGGGTGCTGGGATACACTTGGCTAAGGCAGCAGAAAACCTAAGAGGCAAACCCTTGAAGAAAACCCAGCTTTTGTGTCCATGCCCAGAATGCTGCATTGCTAGTATACAGCCAGTTGTAAAAGAAAGAAATCAAACCCAAATATGGAGGCAGGTTTCTTTGTGCTTTCATTTTCCTCTTTAAAGTTTTTCTGTCAAGCAGCTCTCACAGAGTATTGTCCAGTGGCCACGCTTAAGGAAACTGTGTTTGAAAGATTTTTAACTGAAGATATAAAACATCATTGAGATTGTACCCTTCATGATCACAGTGGCTTCAGCAACCTAACCACTTAAGCAGGAGGAGGAAAGGATTTGGTCCATCCCTAGGGCCTTGCAGACTAACAGCCTTACTGGCCACAAGAAGTGGGGCTGAATGTTGTCCTGGAACTTGAGTGTATTGTTGCTGGTCATTTGTTTCATTCTGGTAAGTAGACGGGAGGAGAGACGGGGCAGAATTCTCACAGTGTTTTATCATGTTTTCCCAGATTGCTGGTTGTCAGTATCAGCTTCCCAGTTTTTTTTACCTGGGCATGTACATGAATACCTGAAGTTAGGACTAGGTTCTCAGTCTTCCTTGAGGCAGACTGTGGCCTCTGGATTAACTAGCTAATAACAAGTAAAAGAAATCCTTTGTGATTTATAGCAAGTATCTTTTTTAAAAAGATGTTTCTTTTCATCCCTTTCTACTTCATACTAACTAGAATACAGAAAGACCTGGAGTTTGAAAAGCTTTTTTAGACCGTGAAGTTAATTCCATGTAGTGAGTCGACGGGGGAACAAGCTAGGAGCTGGTGCCACTAGTCTCTGGAGCTCACACCTTTCGACACACCTGAAGCTTCTGGTTCAAATTGCCATTGTCTGGGGTTTTCTGTCACTGACTTCTTTTTAAAGTAGTGAATAGGGCTTTTGACTGGCAGAATCTGGGATGAAGGTATTAAAGCATGTGGCACTGTTATTCTCAGGTAGCTTATGTGTAGTTCTTTTGGCATAAAAGTGGGACAATTAAAAACTTGAAAGATTTGTGTAAATCTACAGTTCTAAGAAAGCTATAAAGTTATTCTGAACTTAAGTATATTTATAAGCTTCCAAAACTTTGAATTTTAGAGTGGATTTTGATTGAGTTAACTGCATTGACCAATCTGCATTGTGGTCAGATTTGTATGATAAATGGTTTCCTTTGAAATGTTTTTTGTGGCTAGTCTTAAAATTTTATCACCTTTTTATGTTTTCCATGCACCTTGAAAGAATGTGGATTTCTAATTTCTAGATGTAGAGTGCTTTGTATCTTAATACAACACATTTATTTTTGTATTTGTATGTTTATTGTTTGTCTCCCCATTTAGAAGTAATTCCCGTGAAGGTAAGGACTTCTCTCTCTCCAGTGCCTATAGTCACGATCATACATAGTAGGTCTGATTACTTCTTAGGAGTTAAATCAAGTTAAGTGAGATATTCCCATCATCTGTAGCCTTATTTTTTGTATTTTTAACAGTGCTTAAGGAACAAGGACCAAAATGTATAATAGATATTGGGAAATGGGAAGAAAATGTTCAAAGGAGAAGGGGACTGTTGGGGGAAGGAGGGGATAAGAAAGAAAGAATGGATGGGAAAAAATGGAAATGAGGCTTTTGTAGATAAGGAGGGGAAGGGTGGAAGGCAGGGGAGGGGAATGGGCAGAAAAGAAGAAGCAAGATATATCATGTACAGGTACAAATTCCTTATGAATGTTACCATTATGTGTATCTAAAATGTGCCAGTAAAATAAAAAGTTAAAAAAAAGTGAGATTGGAGCTGGGGAAAATAAAAAACAGTGCTTGAGGGAAATTGAAGTCTTTCACTGTGAACATGCATCTAAGTTTGTTGTTATAGTTCTCTCAGTTTTTGCCTCCTGTATTTTGAAGCTATTTTATTAGTACATGGATGTAGTTTGTCTCCAAAAGGTTGATGGATTGGAATCTGGGTCCTCAGTTTGGCAATGGTGAGAGGTAGTGAAACCTGTAGGAGATGGGGCCTCGTTGGAGTTGGTTAGGTCATTGGGCTCACTGCCCTTGGAAGGGGTTAAGGGAGTTCTTCTTGGACCCTGAATTAGTCATAAAGACATGATGCCATCCCCCTGCTTGTCCTCAGCAGAGCTAAGCCAGTGCTAGTGCCATGCCCTTAACCTCCAGAACTATGAGTTATGTGGACCTCTCTTCTTTATAAAATATACAGCCTTAGGTATTTTGGTATAGTAACAAAAATGGGCTAATATAGACATACAAATTTAGAATAATTTCTCCCTTATAGGTTAATATATTTTCATTAATGTCCCTAATTATCAGACTCTTTAGCCATAAAGTCGGCTGTATCTTGATGTAACTACCTCTATTTTATTTTTTATTAAAATTTACCTATTTTTTTCTCTTTTTAATGTATTATTAGTGTTTGCCTGTTTTTCTTTTCACTTTGTTATGATTATTGGCCTGGTTGTTCTTTCTCCATCTGTTCCAACACTTCCATGTTCTTTTGATTTGCTGTTTCTCAGTGATAACTAGAATGTTTTTTTTAAATACAGATACTCCCTTATTTTAACAGGAAATTCACACATTTCTATGATCTTTATGTTTTCTATGGTCTCCATTTCTTATATTCCTTTTTCTCCTTTCTTGTATTACATTATTTTTATTTTATTTTTGCATTTATTTCCTCCACATATTTGAAATACATGTGGTATGTTTCTTTTCTTTTGGTGCTTAAATCTGAAATTTATCGTGCACACTTTAAAAAAAAAAGTCCTCTGACTCTCTATCCAGTTAATGAAGAACTTAACACACATGAACTACACGTTCTCTTAACTTACATGTAATTATTGTGTTCTGTTTTAGTTCAGCAATTTTCTTAACTGTCCCTAATATGCTACTGAATTCATTCACTAAGTTTTAAATTTCTATGATTATATTTCTCCACAAGGAAAAATTGGTTCTTTAAAAAATCTGCCCGTTTATTGTTAGTTGTCTGCTTTGATTCATTTTTAAAATTCATTCTTTTATTTTTAAAAACCTTTCTACATAGTTATTCCATATGCTTATCTGAGATTTCTCATATCTGAAGTTTTGGGAGGCTTTGGTTTGTACTAACTCTGACAGGTAGTGGTTTGTTTCTTTATGTCGTGGTTTATATTACTGTGCTTGGAATTTGTTGATTATCTGTGGAAACCGTCAAGGCCGAAATTGGTTGGGCCCTTCTCTGGAGAGGGTCTGCATTTGTGTACAGTATAATAGGAGTCTGTTTTATTAGGTGCACAAAGGTGCTGTTGGCGTGGGCCACTTGGGTCTTTTTCCTGCCCCACCACAGTGGTCTGGGTTTCAGCTCTCATCCTGAGGAGGCCTGGAAGTTCTACATAGGCATCCGTCTCCTTCACATTAACTTTCATCCCACTGTTCTGCCTTCATCTTATTTGCATTGTCCTCCCTCTTCCCCACCCACTCCCTCCCTTTCTGTCTCCCCCCTTGTGACATTTTTATTACTTTCTGCTTAGTGCTACCATATCATGTTTTCATTTATTCAGAATTTAATTGTGGTCTTGTAGGAAAGCTCTTCAGATTATCTAGCCAACTGTACTTTGGGAACAAATTCCCATGTCGTTGTCAAGAATTAATAGTACAAGAATAATTCAAAAATTTCAATATGGATTTATGATTTGGCAAAAATATCCTTATATCTTCGGGTCGGGGATTTAGCTCAGTGGTTCTGCTGCCTGCCTCTCAAGCGCAAGGTCCTGAGTTTGATCCCCAGTACCAAAAAAAAAAAAATATATATATATATATATATGTATATATACATATACACATATATATACTTATGTCTTTGAGAGTTAACAGTAACATATATTTGTAAGATTTAGCATCTGATTTCTAAAGTCTGCTGACATTTAAAATACAAGTTGAGTAACCCTATCCTGAAAAACGTAAGTTCTGAAATGTTCCGAAAGTTGAAACTTTTTGAAGATGAACATGATGCTTAACAAGTTTCAGATTTCAGATTTTAGGATTAGGGATGCTCAACTGATAAAATTCTACAAATAGTTCAAAATCCTCACCTCTCTGAAATCTGAAACTTCTGGTGCCAAGGATTTCAGAAAGGGATACTCAACCTATACTGTTTGGAATCTGTCTTTGGAAGACTGTAATGTCGGTGTGCTAATGTTTAAACATAAGGGAATTTTGTGAAGAGAGAGACTGTTTTGGCAGAATCCCCAGGGAACATTGTTTTACCACTGAAAATAAGGGTCTGAGGGACAGAAGCCTATCTGACTGTGTCCAAAATCCCAAGCTGCTCCCAGAGTGGGTTATCTTAAGAGCTTGCTTTCATCTCTTTATGTATAAGATCAAACAAGTATGGGTGACAATAATATACCTGATTCTCCTTAGAATGAGTGCCATCTTATTTATTTATTTATTTTTGGTACTGGGGATCGAACTGGGGATCAAACTCGGGTCCTTGCGCTTGTACAGCAGGTGGCGAAACCACTGAGCTAAATCCCTGGCTGAGAATGAGTGCTATCTTATAGTTCTGTTTGATGCTAGATGTATGGGAGTAATTGTTTTGTTGTTATTGCCTTTGTAAACGGGCAAACAAAGTAGTTTGTCTTTTCATTTACCCCACCTTAAGAATCAATAAAATAATTAACTGAAATATTTGTGGATTTATGTGTGTAGTTATAACTTTTCACCTAACCCTGACTTTTTTTTTCTGGCATGTTATGTAGCAGGAGTAAAACTATGGAACCACAGTGTGCAATTCTTACCATCCATGATTAATTTTCCCAGTGCTTACTCATTGTTTGTACTTTAACTTTAGAGAGTGATGAAATTACTAAAAATTATTGATGGGAGCAAGAGTCAAGGATGACTCTGAGCTCAACTCTATCCCTGCAGGTGGATAAAGTTTTAATGTGACATGGAACCTTTTTCTACACATTTTCCATATATTTTCTTTACATTTGTGTGATTAAAATTATCCTTTTAGCCTACCAGAGAGGTTTGCCTTGATTTTTTAAAGGTGAATAATACCTTTCTCTGCATGTCTTAGATATGCTAGGTTTTTGTTCTGCCTCATTTGAAGGGATATTTTCATTATGTCTGTTTCTCAATATGAAGAAAAACAAAGTGTTTAGAACTCTTTTTTAAATCAGGTGACTGATCTGATCGTGTGTGTATGTGTGTGTGTGTGTGTGTGCGCGCCTGCTTGAATATAGTAACCATTTCACTGTGAACAAGTGTATAAAAACACCATGTTGTATTCCTTAAACTTATACAATAGAGAACAAACAAGCTGTAGGATATGAAATAAGAAAGTGGCCACAAATCTTAGTTGTAATTATTAGTATTGGTCACTTTTGCTTCTTATTCCTCAACATATTGTCTTTGTATTCACATAAAGATG